CTAAAGTTATACATGTAGTTAGTTGTACTCTCACATTATATAACATTTACTCACTATCAATACCAATAAAAGTTTCAGCTGATGGTATTTGTATAAAGTAAACAAAAAAAAAAAAAAATATATATATATATATAATTTTTTATAAAATTAAATATAAAAAAATTTACTATTAAATTTAAAGAATTAATTTTTGTACTCTTCAAATTTGATATTTATATTTCTTTAAAAATTAAAAGATTTTTAAATTTTGAATAAAAATATCTAAACAACTACCTAATTAAATTAAATAAAAAATTTTTTATTCAAATTCTACAGATTTATAGAATTCAAATAAAGAATTTGGTTGAGTGATTGTTGAGATATCTTCACTCAAAATTAGTAAACAATTCAAAACATCTATCAAATAGAAGCTATACCAAATTTTTTTTAAAACTTTAAGCAAAGGTATCTTGACAACCACCTGACTAAACTCTATAAAAATTTTTTTATTTGAATTTTGCAAATTACTAAAATTCCAATAAAAAAAATTTTATTGAATTTGATTAGATGGTTATCGAAATATCTTTGCTCAAAGTTAATAAATAATTCAAATATCTGATATTTATCAAAATAAAAGCTATGCTAAATTTTTTTTAAAACTTTGAGTAAAGATATCTCGACAACCACCTGACTAAACTCAAATTTTTTTTTATTTGTATTCTATGAGTTTGTATAATCAAATAAAAAAAAATTTTATTGAATTTGGTCAGGTGGTTGTTGAGATATTTTCGTTCAATTTTTAAAAAAAATTTGGCGCAGCTTCTGTTTTGATAGACGTTTGAATTATTTACTAACTTTAAACAAAGATATTTCGACAACAACCTAACCAAATTCAATTAAATTTTTTTTATTCGAATTCTAGAGATTCGTAGAATTCAAATAAAAAAATTTTCATTGATATTGGTCAGGTGGTTGTCAAGATACCTTCGCTCAAAGTTTTAAAAAAAATCTGTCGCAGCTTCTATTTGATAGATATTTTGAATTGTTTACTAACTTTGAGTAAAGATATCTCAACAATCGCTCAACCAAATTCGACAAAATGAATTCTATGTATCTGTAGAATTCGAACAAAAAATTTTCATCGAATTTGATCAGGTAGTTGTCGAGATATCTTCGTTCAAAATTTAAAAATCTTTAAATTTCTAGGGGGGTATGAATATCAAATTTGGGGGGTACAAAAATCAATTCCCCAAACCCCCTACTCTTAATTACAACCTTTTGCTTTATTACGGTATATTTTTATTAGATTCGACCGACCAAGAACATTAAAGTGCTAAAATTGAAATTAGTAACTGGTAACAAAATATAAACGAACTATTCCTTTATTTAAATAGTATACTGTTTAATTGTTATATATTGGATCAACCTTTTAACATATTTACTAAACTAAACCGTATATTTTTTTGAAGCTATCGCTTGGAAATTTTTAAATAATCCAGTACATGCTAATTAAGCTATATGAACTATGATTCGATCAGATTTACATGTTACTACCTGGCATGCTTGTTCTGATTGGGCCAGCGTTGGCTGAAAACTCCTGCATTTTTTAATTTACTCCAGTAGGAAAATCTTATCTTCACTAAACACTGGGAAATCTGTATGTCCAGTGAGGTTTCAGCTTCCAGTCAACAACATTGGGTTATATAGTAGGCAAATCTGATTACCTAATATTAAGTGCAGCTAAAGTCACGTCATGAGTGTTCCATTTTTTAAAAAAAGAATAATTATCATCCAGAAACATGTTAGTCCTGATATAAACATATAATTAAAATGAAATAATAATATATATTTTGTTAGCGAAATGTTACCCACGTAAGAGGAATTCATTCAAGTTCTGGGTTAAGGTCTAAAGTAAATGGTTCTGCCTGCTGAGTAACATCCATGGGACCAAATAAATTAGATTTTACGTAATGAATGTCATCACTATCCTCTTCTTCTTCGTTCTCATCATCATTTTTGTCTCCTGCTTTTACGAATACATATGGCATATATTGATTGACACGTGTTATTTGGGATTTATTATAAGGATTCATAAAATAACAATGCGTCATACCATCTTCAAAAACCATATCAACATCTTGCCGAAAAAGAAATCCTCTCCTCATGCGTGATTCATCTGGATATGGAGGCTCAGCGAAAGTCCCAGCTACATAATTTGGTGGTGCTGATGTATAGCTGCTGATTCTATTTGCATACTTTAATATCTCGTCTGCAGTTACCGAGGCTAAATATAATATTTCATAAGAGTATTACTGTATTGCGCAAATAAGAGAAACTAAATAATTTATTATACAAACATGCAGAAGCAAAATTTATAGCTTGAATTGTTTCATTTGCAGCATCCAAGCAGATTTCAAGTTGCTCTTTTCCATTTTTTAATTCATTCACAAATTCCATAATTGCATTATTTTCAGCCTCAATTTCGTTAATAACCTGCAATATCTTTCGATGAACCCTTTGGTGTTCTTCAACTTTGAATTTTCGTATAAAAGAAAAAGCTAGATTATTCCATATATCCAAAAAGCGATAAAAACACAATCTCCCCTTACTTTGCTCGAGACCTTGTTGCATTTTTTTATCCAATTCTACGATATCCTTCATTATATCAACGGGTGGCCGGTCTGTTTGTTTTCCTTCTGCATTTGCAGCGATGGAGGAAAAAACACGGTCTATTAATGATTGATATTCTGTGAGAAGAGAAGCATTCAACGCAATCATTGACTTTGAGGTGTTGTTCGGTGTGCCGATTGGATTCATTTTTTCCCGAGAGCGTAAGCGACAGAAACAAAATTAATTTTGATTGGCTGTAATCAGAATGATCGACAATGATCGACGGCTTATTCTGATTGACCAATATTATCTGATAATATGCATTTCAATAATTATCTGCATAATAGTGCAGATAATAAGATTTTCAAAATTTGAATCATAAATAAAATTACGCTCATTATACCTCTCTTAATGTATTTATTGACGTAATAACGCCGATTCGGCTCATTTAACAGGCAGGCATCACACAACCAGTATTGGAAATTCAAAAAAAAAAATAAAATTTTTTTTTTTTTGTAAAATAAATTTTTTTATATGATGTTCACATTAAATGTTCTCAACATGAAATATTAAAACCGAA